ACTCACACCATTCAGCTGGAACCTCTTCCCTTTCCCATATTGAGCCCGGGAGTTTTTTAACTCCAAAAGCAAGGCTGAGCCTCCATTCTTAAAAACGGATAGGGACAGCCCCTCGGGGCCACAAGCCTTATGCCGTTTGAGGTGACTTATTTCCCGGGTCACCTCCATTTCAGGTGGAGGACTGATGTCAACTGGCAGTATTTGCACAGTTTGATCGAATGGGGTAAAGTCTTGTGTCGAAGGGAACCAGCTTAACTGTGCCTTGAAATGTTCTGTCTAACGTTCAAGTCGACGTTCCTGAATTTGAATCACTGTGCCGTCAGACTCCTTTCCATCACTGAACAGCGGTTCTTCGTGACTATGTGGTCCACTCCATCTGCTGTTCATCACACAAGTGTGTAGTAAAAAAATGTGACCTAGTGTCCTGGTTAGGGTTTTCATACCCTCATGCCAAGTCTTAGTTTTACCACCGTAGAAGCCTCGTCAAACGCTCAATCCGGGGGCCTTCAACGTGAGTACTCTGATACAGGTGTGTCAACAAGCTTATGTAGCACGCACAATGGATTCTTTGGGGATGGATGTCTGCTGCATATCGGAGCCGCGAATCCAAGATCCTAGTGGTATACGCGCCGGATTTTTTTTCTGCACAGACCACCTGTTCCTATCCAGTGCCGACTTCAGACACAACTCTAATCAGACTACAACGTGGAGCTTAATTTCATCTGGTACGCTGACTCGAATCGGCTAAATAGCAGCAAGCTGCTGTTGGCGTGGCTCAGCACAAAACTGCAGGTCATATTTCACCACCTTCGTTGAATCTGATCACGCATTGGTTTAGATGAGTCAGTATCACTGATGGAGATAAGGTGGTAAATCCCGACAGTACGAGATGAAGTCAGGAGTAGCTGGCGTCTGCAAAGTCAACTCACGAAGAGCATCAAGAAGGACCGTGAGAACTAGTGGGCAACGGTAGCTAGTGAAATGGAAGTAGCAGCTGCATCAGGAAATATCCAAAGACTGTTCCAACTCGTGCCCAACATGGGAAACAATCTGAAACAATCTGCGACAAAAGTGGGCAAGCTATTCACAGTAAGGAACAACGGCTTGACCTGTGGGCGGAATACTTCAACGAGCAGTTCAGCTGGCTAGACGCTAACCAGACTATCTCATCTGATGTAGTTGAGGCTCCGTGGGTTGTGTCATGTCAACGCCCTACGATCTTGCATCCATGACCTGAAGAAAGGAAAGGCAATGGAATAAGATGAGCTCCTTCCCACTCTTTTCAAAATGGAAGGGGGTGATAACTTTTTAGGCTCTATTACTACCTTACTGCGCAACATTTGGATGCACACAGACTTGTGACATTTTTTTTCGAGGGTACTAAGCCGAACATTTTGCCGTGGTGATCAATCTGAGTTAGCTAGTTGGCCTTCCTACACTTGTCTCCGATTGACCTGGCTGTCGTATCCATTCAGGCGTGCATATTGCATGTGCGAGCCTCATAGATGTCTAATTTCTGCAATGATAGATATTTCAAACAATCACATGTTGTGCGACTTTTTGTTTGACGAGATCATTCATTATCCATTTGCGTTCTACTTTTTACAGTCCCAAGGTTCCAAACGAAACTAGGAATGGCTGGTCTACCTCCGCGAATCATCAAGGTAAGTTATTCTTAGCATTGCCTATCTTTCCAGGAAACCCAAAAGCTCCTCCGAGAGCCTTGTGATGGGATTACCGCACATCCTAGTGAAGACAATGCACGCTATTTCCTGGTATCCATAAAAGGACCATCCGATAGTGCTTACGATGGGGGTGTTTTTAACTTGGAGCTTTTCTTGCCTGATGACTATCCAATGACTGCTCCGAAGGTTCGTTTCACCACCAAATTGTATCATCCAAATGTGGATAAACTAGGTCGCATTTGTCTAGACATTTTAAAGGGTAAGTCAATTTACACATCGTTATTCTCATTGGAATATTTGTTTCATTCTGGCTTTTCCTCATTTCGTGTATCGGTGTTGTGTTTGCATATCTGATTTCTATGCATGATAAAAAATGTTTTATCAAACACTCTCGTGTAGTTTTTATTACACATCAAGTGAACTGCAATACAAGGGGCAAACTTCATGGTCCAATGACACGATTCAACCTATTGATCTTGCGTTTAAACTGGGAGAAAATGTAAGCTGATGGGAATACTAACTGAGCAAGTATCCTATAGTTTGATGGGCAAGCCGATTGGAAATTAAAAAGGAATCTCTGATCTGCTGGATGGATTTACATTCAATCGTGTTCCAGACCAGAAAAAACAAAATACGAGGCTCCGTATCACACGTGACTGCGGTATTGAACTGTCCGGCATATTTACCTAGAAAAGTGGCCAAACGGGAAGAAGCGTTTGGTGCAATTGGGTGAAAAACGACGGGGAGAAAAAGTTGTGAGCGAATCTGCCAGAGAGGGAGAAAAAATATACAGATCAAGGGGAGGCGAGTTAGAATTCAGAATGAAATGGATATATGTGGGGGAAGTTGAACGAGGAGGATTTCGATAGTATGGAAACAGTATTTGGAACTAAATAGATAATGGCAGCAGCGAAAACATCATAGAATGTGGTGAGTCATAGATAAAGTTAACCCCGTGGTCATGCAGACCTGATCATCAGTTATAGGAGCAGACGACCTAAACCTTGAAACTAAAAGTGCCAAGCCCCGAAAATGTAGTCGCGTTATGGAGTTGAACTTCTAGGGAGTTGATTAAAAAAGAATAGCCAACGAATCACTCTTATTTCGTTCACAAATATATTGCCAGCGCAGTCAGAGTTAGCAAACAGGTTCGGGTGTAGTTCAGTGGTTGTAAAGTCCAGTTGCAATCTACTAGTGGTGCGGTTTACTTCTAGAGCATTATTCACTTTGAACTATCCAGCTGACCGTTGCTGTATAAAATGCTCTGGGGTCACATTTACCGGACACTAGTGGTAATCACAGTGAATAACAGCAAGTGCATACAGTCAAAACCTTTTAACTTCCAGATCAATAAACTAGGACTAACCAAGCAAAGCATTTGATTGTACTGTCAGTGTGTTTCATTTCACATACTTGAGAAACTTATTTTTTCTGTTTCAAAACCTTGCCGGCATTTCGCACTAGTTTCTTTCATACTAACTTCCAAAATTAACGATCAGGATTTTGAGCAACCAGAAGCGGGACACTAAAATGCCATTGTTCGCGGCTGTTTGAATTAAGCTAAATTCAATCGTTCTCTAGCTTGGATTCACATTTATTGTTGAGTCGAAACCACTCTTAAAAGAGCGTGATTGTATTTAATGCAGGTGGATAGANGGGGGGGGGGGGAGGGTGGCATAAGTCAAATGTATTAAACTCCATTTTTCTTAGTAAACGGCAAAACAAAACTGGCAAAAGTACGATCGCGGCTGTTGATGGTTTTTTAATGATTAAGCCGGTTGGGACTCCTGTAGACGTTATTTCGAGTAAGACAGCACCGTATAATAATATTTGTGAGACATTAGATTGTCGCACGCAATAGTGCACTTGTGGCCGTTTCTAACCAACCTAATTCATATCATTTTTTAAGCATTATCAATTACCGGTTTGTTGATATCCGGACTTCTCCGTTCTGTGAATGACCACCCCAGGTGATAAAAAACCCTTTGTGTAGTGAATAGTCTTTAGTCTTTTTCTTTATTTGCAATTCATATTCGCCTTTGTGGTCATGCAAAACATTCAGCTCGAAGCCAGAGAGCCAGTTGATTCATGTTATATAGCTGACCTCAGCATTGGGTTAGAAGAGGTGTCTATATTGTAGCGTAGTAGGAACTAAGACAAACGAAAAGTTCATTTTCAGTTTATGCTTAGTGTCAGTGTTGTAGTTTATTGTCCTGCTCGATTGTCATCGCGCAAATGGGAGGTTGATCTGACAGATATCATCCCGAGATTCCGATAGAATACTGTATTGAAGTGGTGTTTGGAGTGCGCAATCACGTGGGTACATCACTACTAGACTACTGTTTACACCTGCTGCTCCTATTTTGTCACTGAGACCTAACTCCTAAGTCCTCTTTGTTTTACAGATAAGTGGAGCCCTGCGTTGCAAATTCGCACAGTCCTATTATCCATTCAGGCGCTTTTGAGTGCACCAAACCCGGACGATCCCTTGGACCACGAAGTGGCCTCACATTGGAAACAAAATGAGCAAGAGGCTCTGGAGAAAGGTACTTTTTGGAATAAAAAAAAACACTTCATGTTCTGTTATCTCCTCAACTTTGCCAAGTTCTAGGGCAGCAAATATTCCAAATTCCAAATGAATTCTCACCGTGTAGCATTAATAAAGGGCTGAATACACCCTAACTTGGTCAACGATCACGAGGGCATACAACATTGTTTGTGGAAACCGGTAGACTAAACATCGCGTTATGTGCAACGGCAATTCTCATAAGTCCCCAGGGAGATAAAGCTAGTAATAGATGGGAGCAGGTAAAGTTGTCTAGGTTAAAGATTAGAGAAGAGGAAAAATTACCGGTTCATGGACTGCAGATTAAATGTATTAGAGCCTTGATCTATAGACCGGACACAGTACACCGTGCTAAGCTTCCTGGTTGGGCCTACAGGACGACTGTAACCTAGAGCCCGGAATATTAGGTGAAACGAATGCGTCGTGCATTGTGGCATTCATTTATCATTTCATTGAACCAATTCACCTAATTTCACTATTTGAATCGTCGTGCCAAACCTATGGTTATCTCAGTTTCCTTCACTTGCTGTCACATAAATCTATCAGAATCAAAGTAGTACCATGCAAACATAACAGTTGTTTAGATGATACTGCACTATAAAGACCGGGGCTTGAATTGACGGAACCCATGTGAGAATGGTCATTATCGAGGATTCAAAACACCCAACTGTCGTGGAACGCATAACGGCAATAATTTCACTTGGTGCCTCTTGTATTTGATTATCTCAGTGACTCAGATTACTGTGATTCAATCCTGTCATCTTCAGACTGTTTCCGTCGAGTAGATTAGTGTGAATGGAAACTGTTGATCATGTGATCATTTTATGAATAATTAGCCAATCGAACATGCGAAAAAGTATGTCACAGCAATTCGCATTGTTTACTTCCGCTTGCGATGATAACATTTCTCACCTGTGTTTTTGGATAACCCAACAAGCAAAATTATTATCAAATCTACTTAGATAGGCTTTTAACCTTATTCTTCATTCATGCACTTTTAGATTACGTGACAAATCTTTTTTAAGCAACGCTCTCCCTAGAGTTAACTATGTGAATGCAACTAATGCGTTGCTAGTGTTATAATTCCACAAGGCGGTGTCCACTCGGAGAAATTTGTTTATTTGCAGAATACAATTAGGATATCAAGAATTTGGCATACATATAACAGATATCTCGTTGGAAACATGTTATCAAAATTCCCGGCAGCACACAGGGTAATGAATAGAGTAGTCTGTAGTTATCCTTTGGGGTACGGCAACTTGCCCTCAGTGGTCTTGTTAATTTTTGATCGTTGAAGGAAACCGCCAGCCGCATTATTTTGCACACTACTCACGACTGTGAGTAGTACCACACAACAATGGTAGTAAGGGTTCCATGTTCATTATGCGCTTGGTCCGTCAGACTGATTGGTTTTGTAATTTTACGGAAACATAACAGACCTATCTACCTCTTTGGTATTTTAAATTTAGAACGGGGCTAGAGAGGCCAAAGGACATGAAGACTAATCGATCGCATTCCGATTCTTTCTGACCCTTGGTTTCTCATCAGTTCATTTAAACGAGTGTACACCTAGACTGTGTACTCTGTGTATTGCTTCATTTTCTTTTCACGTCATACAAAACAAACATATGTTGTATAAATTTTGAGCTTTACAGTGTATAGCGAAGTTCGCTTAACTGTGTGCTACTGGGCAATCTTTTACTAAAAACAATGCAAACATGGAAAAGTTATGTATATATTTCTTGTTTGCGGTACTTTTCTGCTGTATGGTTGGGTCAAGAAACTAATTTTGGATAAACCACATTACTATTTTCAACGTACCACACACGCAAAATTCTCGTACATCTGTCCTTGGTCATCATATCATTCATACAATGAATTTTTAAAGTACTAGATATCGCTGAAGGTTGAAGACGCGATCATTCGTTTTTTCCTATATTTTCATTATTTCGCATTTCAATGGAACGACACTTCTTATTCGTTTATCCCATTACTGTATCATCGTTAGAGCATTATCAATCGTTGATCGTCTTCTCACCTACGATTTTCTTCTCAAAGATTACCACGAGCGTAGGCAGCATCTAATTTCACGACACGCTTCACATTCGTCCTTGAGATACGCATTCCAATAGGGTCAGCTGACCCCTCCTTTAAAGACCACTGTAACGATTCACTTGACAGACGCTTGATGATCGTTGCCTATCGGTCACGTTACTCGATCGATCAGCTGATTAGTGGTAGAATTTCCATTGTAAGGGGGAATCATTCAATGAGTAGTGGTTTTAGGTGTTACGCATTTTGTTTAATAGATCAACAGACAAAGAGAACATGGAAGCTGTTAATACAGACACTATCCTATTTGATCATGTTTATTGTCTTATGTTATTCACAATCAGTCAATCAAACTAATGAGGTTAATAGATTTAAACTAGGATTACTTCTAATCTGTAAATAATAAACCAACTCTTTAGTGTCACCTCCGAATTTCAAACTGTACATGTATAACTAACTGATTAACTACTCGCAGCAGAGTTAGATGTCGACGACAATAGTGATCAGTGGCGTGTTTGGGACCCAGTTTAATGATTGCATAAGGATTCGCTGCACCAATCAGGTGGAAACACTTACCGCATTTACTTTGATCCGAAATGCGTCTCTCTCTCTCTACATAACTGTTGCTTGTTCTAATCGCTGATCAATTAACATGGTGCGTGTGGCGTAAATTACATGTGAATCGATATACATTTGCCACAGAAGCGTCCCATTTTTCAGATGACTGTTTTTGCTCCATTTTTCCATGTACTTTTTTCGGTGAATAGCGTTGTTTTTTAGCTACATCTCATTGGTGCCCGCAAGAAGCTGTGTCACGTTCCCAATAACCATTATTTGTTATTTTGTTTTGACAATTTGTACACGCTTGTATGCTTACATTTCCATCACAAAGTGAAATAGATCGTGTCTAATTGTGAATGATAACAATTAAAGAAGACGCTCATGTGCTTCGACTAGTGAAAAAATCATGTGATAGTTTTCGCTGGCTTAACTGAACGCGGGCTGATTAGAGTGCAGCGAAATTTCGGTAATCAAGGTTCTGTATAGCGCAAATTGAATTTGGTTGCAGACCAAGGAGAAGCAAAGCGATACACCATGATTGGTGAAATAGCTAGCGGTATCATCAAGATGTCTCATATACGAAGATCGGAGAACTTCATGATCAGCGTTTTCATGAACTTAATGGATATATATATATATATGTGTGTCGAGCAAGAAGTCGTGCATTGTCTCATGAAACAAAATGGTAGCGACACGGCAACGTAACTTCGTGCGAAAATAAGTCTCACAACAGTTTTACTTTTAGTNTTTTAGTCCACACGAGAACCAAGCGAACATGAAAAACAATGAATCCGGACGTGATGACGAACAGAATGTGGCAGTCAATCGAAGAGCGTGCGGTTATCATGCCCAACTTAAGTTCTTATTTCTTATTATCAGTTACCTAAGGATCTGGTCTCATTTATTATCTTTTTTCCCTCTTCCCATTTTAGCTCGCGAATGGACTCGCCTATACGCCAAACCAGCCTAGAGTCAACTTTGCACCATTGCGATCAACTTGCGCGCACTCATTCACCCTTAAGGAACAACCCATTTCCTACTTCATCCTATCTTCCCCACCTGATTGCCTCAGTCAAATCATCCCCTCGTTGCGTCGCACGTTGTGTGCTCAGTTTCCCCGCACTCTTTTTTTATTGTGACTGTAACGCTTTCGCTTGTTCTTCTTCTGCTTGCTCAAACTGCGAAGGAGTGGATAACAGCGAGAGAGAGAGGGGGTAGAGTTGCATTGCTCCATCCCCTCCCTGTTGACAGCATCCACATATAAGGCACTTCCAAGTGACCTTATTATTCAGGCTACTATTACCATCAGCGATTCCTGCCTGCCAGGCTCTTCAGTCGCGTTACGACTTCGTTGGCCCCTCTCACATTGTGCTCTCCTTCATCTGGAACACTGTGGACAACTGTCTGTATGTTTTGTGGAACGGGCTTTCACTTCTTGATCGAAATGTTTGCAAGCAAGTGAGACCTTTTTGTGGTAAATATTCCCACCTTTAATTTCCTTACTTCATCTATCCATCCATCCGTCACTATCCATTGATCTATTCATAATGCCAGAAGCAGTATCGTTGTTATGACTGTGTTACGTTATGCCATCCCAGTGACAATGAAATCCATATTTACTCGGTGCGCGCTCTGTTTCTTTCTATGGAGCCTGTGCATTTTCCATTCACATAAATGTAAAATAGCTGTGTCAGAATGTCAAATCTGTCTCAACTCTCTCTGTCCTTCATGGATGGTATTAGAAATAGGCTTTTGACTACGTCACTTTGACTTCTTCACTGTGTTGGCTTATGATCCCTCGTAGTCCACTGAATCACTAGTCGGGCCGGAGGTTCATTTCTGTGTGCAATAAACAGAACTTCGGGTCAGATTCTTATGGAATTCATCTGGTCCCTGTCGCGTGTGAAACGTAACTCCATTATTGTGGGGCGAAGGAAGAACCGTGTAAATCTCGCCCTATAAACTACTTTGAGGTCCAGTTTACGGGTCTTCAAAATACTCGTAGATTTGAAGGCGAGTTGCCCAGCCAATCGGAAATGATCGAGCGAGCGGTGCGCTGGACTTTCGGTAACCATGTAAGCGGGTAATAAATTCGCACTGCAATGTAATTATCAGATAGGGAGTGTTGCAAGCCTATGGGATACTCATCTAGATTTTAGATCTACTGAGGCCTTATTACTCAATTGCACCGGTGGAAATTGTATCTGTGGGAGGAGTTTTCGCTGAAGTCTGGTGTTGAACACTGTTGCTGTTTCAATACCCGAATGACCAAAAGCTCACCGATTGTGCCACTATTCATCTTGGTTTCGACAATTTCCTAATTGATTTTGAGTACGGGATCCATCTTCGGTAATAAGCTGCTTTGGCACTGCTTAGAATATTCTTCAAAGGTTTAGAGATCAACGCACTGGAGGACAGATTTTCATCCCTAT